CCTTTCATGTAAGATATTATGCTGACATTGCTGTGGACATATTGATTTCCAATACCCATGAAGAAGTCTTATGAGATGAAACCCATAGGGCTTGTCATGTGCCTCACTGACGATTTCTTATTTTCACCTAATTTTATTTATATAGCACCATCAGATTCCATAGCGCTGTACAATGGGTGGACTAACAGACATGTAATTGTAACCAGACAACTGGACGTACATGAACCGAGAGGTTGAGGGCCCTGCTCAACGAGCTTACATTCTAGAGGGAGTGGGGTATAATGACACAAAGGGTAAAAGTAGGTTTTTAGAAAAGTGTTCACTGAAGGCTTAGTAGATACCGTATTTATCGGCGTATAACACGCACCTCATTTTAAGAAGGAAATTTAAGGGAAAAAAAAACTTAAAGGACAACTATAGTGCCAGGAAAACATACTCGTTTTCCTGGCACTATAGTTCCCTGAGGGTGCCCCCACCCTCAGGGACCCCCTCCCGCCGTGCTCTGGAGAGAGGAAGGGGTTTAACACTTACCTTTCTCCAGCGCCGGGTGGGGAGCTGTACTCCTCCTCGCCTCCTTGCTCGCGACGTCATCAGCTGAATGCGCACGCGCATTCAGCCGGTCGCATAGGAAAGCATTTACAATGCTTTCCTATGGACGCTTGCATGCTCTCACTGTGATTTTCACAGTGAGAAGCACGCAAGCGCCTCTAGCGGCTGTCAATGAGACAGCCACTAGAGGCTCTGGAGGCTGGATTAACCCTCAGTATAAACATAGCAGTTTCTCTGAAACTGCTATGTTTATAAAAAAAAGGGTTAATCCTAGAGGACCTGGCACCCAGACCACTTCATAAAGCTGAAGTGGTCTGGGTGCCTAGAGTGGTCCTTTAAATTTCAAATAAAGAACTTCTTACCCCCCTTTCTTACTCCCCCCTCCCCCTCTTCTTACTTCCCCTTCCCCCTCTTACCCCCTTCTTACTCCCCCTCCCCCTCTTCTTACCCCCCTTCTTACTTCCCCCTCCCCCTCTTACCCCCTTGTTACTCCCCCTCCCCCTCTTCTTACCCCCTTTCTTACTCCCCCCCTCTCTTACTTCCCCCTCCCCTCTTACCTCTAGCCTCCCCTCCCCTCTTCTTACCCCCCTTTCTTACTCCCCCTTCCCCTCTTCTTACTTCCCCTTCCCCCTCTTACCCCCTTCTTACTCCCCCTCCCCCTCTTCTTACCCCCCATTCTTACTTCCCCCTCCCCCTCTTACCCCCTTGTTACTCCCCCTCCCCCTCTTCTTACCCCCTTTCTTACTCCCCCCCTCCCCTCTTACCCCCTTCTTACTCCCCTCCCCTCTTCTTACCCCCTTTCTCCCCCTCTTCTTGCTTTCCCCTCCTCTTGCCTCCCCCCTCCCCTCTTCTTTGCCCTTTCTTACTCCCCCCTCCCCCTCTTCTTACCCCCTTTAAGCAACCCCTCCCTCTTCTTGCCCCTTTCTTACTCCCCCCCTCTTCTTGCTTTCCCTCCTCTCACTTGTCTTGCTCCCCCTCCCCCTCTTCTTGCCCCAGCATAACCTCCCCCCTCCCCTCTTGCCTTCTTGCTCCCCTCCCCTCTTCTTGCCCCCCTTTCTTGCTCCCCCCTCCTTCTTGCTTCCCCCTCCTCTTCTGCCCCCCCTTTTCTTACTCCCCCCTCTTCTCCCCCTCCCCCCTCTTCCTTGCCCCCTTTTCTTACTCCCTCTCTTCTTGCCCCCCTCCCCTCTTCTTGCCCCCCTTTCCTTCCTCCCCCTCTTCTTGCCCCCCTCCCCCTCTTCTTGCCCCTTTCTTGCTCCCCTCTTCTTACCCCCTTTCTTGCTCCCCCTCCTCTTGCCCCCTTTCTTGCTCCCCCTCCCTCTGTTTTTGCCCTGCCTCCCCCTCCCCTTCTTCTTTACCCTTTATTCTCCCCCTCTTCTTGCCCCCTCCTCTTCTTACCCCTTCTAGCCTCCCCTCCCCTCTTCTTGCCCCCCTCCTTACCCCCTTCTTACCCCCTTTCTTACTCCCCTCCTTACTCCCCTGTGGGCGTGTGGGGCTGCTCTGCTTTGTCGCGGTGGCGGTTGGTCGATGGGAAGGTGCTGCGGCTCGGTGTGCACCTTCCTGTCATTCCAACCGGGTACAGGAAACAGAAACTCCTGTTCCGCGCGGAACAGGAGTTTCTGTTTCCTGTACCCGGTCGGACTGACAGGAAGGTGTACACTGAGCGTGCACCTTCCTATCACTCCGGCCGGCCACCGCGGACAGCAGAGCAGCTCGGCCACGCTACAGGGGAGGTGAGAACCAACTGCAGCCGCCTGAGCGCTCTTGACAGAGCACTCAGGCGGCTGCAGTATTTAAAGGGCCGTCGTATTACACGCACCCACAATTTCTCCCCTATTTTCAGGGAGAAAAATTGCGTTATACGCCGATAAATATGGTAATTTTGACAGTTGCAGGTGAGGAGTCATTGGGGGGGTGGGGGCTAAAAACAGTTTAATTGGTATGCTTTCTTGAAGAAGTGAGTTTTCAATGATTTTTTTTTTTTTGAATGAGTGGATCTTACAGAGAAGGGAAGAGAGTTCCACAGAAGAAATGTAGCCCTGGAGAAAGTTTGGAGGTGAGAGTACAGACAGAAGATATACGTAGGTCTTTGGCAGAGCATAGCGGCCTCGACGGGATATACTGGTTTATTAGGGAGGATAGGTAGGTTGGAGCAGCATTATGTAAGGACTTATACGCAAGACAGACACAGGAGTAGTAACACTTGAAGGAGGAAAGACCAGAAGTTCTGTTTTGGACATGTTGAATTTAAGGAAGTGAGCAGCCATCCTGTTGGCAATCGCAGAGAGGCCGCCAGAGACTGAGTCAAGATGGGCAGAGAGATCAGGAGAGGACAGGTCGATTTGCGTGTCATCCTCATAGAAATGATAACGAAACCCAAATGAGCTAATGCATTTACCAAGGGAGGCAGTATAGATAGAGAACAGTAGGGGATTAAGGACAGAATCTTGGGAGATGCCAACAGAGTGTTTTTTTGTTTTTGTTTTTGGGGAGAAGAAGAAGAGAAGAGAAACACTGAAAGAGCACTGGCAGAGGTAGGAGGAGCACCAGGAGAGAGCAGTATCCCATGGACAAAAAAGATGGAGAATGCGAAGAAGCGGTTGATGATCCACAGTGTCAAAGGCAGCAGAAAGATCAAGGATAATTAGGATAGAGTAATGGCTACAAGATTTAGCAGGAATTAAATCATTTGATACTTGCCTTTTTCGACAGAATGACCAATGCGGAATGCAGACTTAAGGGGGTCAAGCAGAGTTGGAATCGAGAAAGTCAATGAATCTGGTGTACCCAACTATAGAGTCAGGACTACATGTTTGTGTTCCTCACCCTATAGTGCTCCTTTAAAATGCCATGAATAACTTTACAAACTTTCCTACATTTTCACTTTACGATTTTATTAATAAATTATGTTTTGATGTAAATATTTACATGAAATGAAAGTCCTATTTGTCCTGAACAAAATGTAATATGTGTGGATGCACTTTATAAAATAAATTGTTGATGAACAAACTGTTTAAAGTCTACGTTTTGGTTCAGAACAATTACCCGGATAATCCCTTAAAGAGTTAAGAGAAATAGATCAGAAATGAAATACATTCTGAAAGAGTAAAGGGAGAGAAAACAGTGGGAGAAGAGCAAGTATGAAATAACAGAGCTTTAAACTTAAAAAGGAACGAGAAACTAGAGTACTAATTCTCTATCAGGCCACTCCTATTCATATAGGGGAGTACAAATCTATACATTTTGTGACTGACCATCTGGTCACCTAAGCCAGGTAAGTCTCCCCAAAGCCTCCACCTCCTCGCAAAAGACTAACCCACCAACCGGTGTCTCCCAGCCCAGTCCCGGCTACTCAGCCACCTTTCAACCTCCAAGGGCCACTGTGACATAGGGTTGCCTTCAGTCAGGCATGCTAAGGGCAAAAAAACAAAAAACAAAAAAAACACTTTACCCAGAGCGCTCTCGGCCCCAGAACTATCAGGGCACTTTTTGGAGAGTTAACAAAACGGGTGGAGAGGCATCGAATGACACCAAAAACTTTGGGGAGCTCTATATACCCACAGTAGGTGCCTGGGAAACTCTACCCAGCACTCTGGAACTCTGCGCCAGATCAGAAGCTAGCCGTGTCTCACTGAACCTTTGGACTTCCATCTAATTCAGGCAAGCTATAGCCGATCCAGGTGCTTTGTGGATGGAATGAGTGCCCTAAAGACTTTTCCAGGGGTGTATGGCGTGTGTGGGTGCTCTGTTATATTGTATTTTTTTTGGTATGTTTATCCATGAGTGGACTCCATTACCTCCCTGGGCGGACTTGTTTTGTACTACATGGAGACCCCATGCTGGGTTAAGGACTGCCTTGTTCAATACAGATTATTCCTTATTCACCCGTCACAAAGTCTTGACTAGTGTTTGGATGAGACCGCTACACGCTTCTCAAGACAGCTAATCACTCTAGAGCAGGGGTTACCAATTAATTTTGCCATTGGAATTGGACATAGTGTATTAACATTGTGAAACACATACACATTCATAAACACACTGCAAGATGAACACATCTTGACCCGCAGATACATACACACAGTCACCCTTCTGTTAGCATACCTGTTGTATTCAGGAGACTGACTTTCTGGCTGAGGCAGGTGTGTGTGGGGAGCTGCTCACTCTTGGCTGATGCCTCTCTCCCTCCGGCGTGGCAGTTTCTATACGAAGCTGCGAGGAAGTGACCATCCATCACTTTCTCCAGCATCGTATACTACAGGGACCCGGTCGTGCCATTAAACGGCCGCAGCGCTGACTGGATCCCTGTGCAGCAAAGCCCATCGGGTGGCCCTAGGTGCACAGGCCACCCGATTGGCAAACCCCCAATTTTGTTCAGCGTTACACCAACTGGGATACGCTGCTCTAGAGCAAGGGACAACCTAGGCGGTACTAATCCAGCTACTTGTGGGTATAATGTCACATTTCTTTAAGAGCCCTGTGGGGAGAGAAAAAAAAAGCGACAAGTGGTTTTTTTTTTTTATTGATAAACTTTAATGATGCAACCAATTGAAAATGAAAGATTTAGAACCGCAGCTTTTGGAAAAACCACTTGTTTTTGCCGGTCTTGTATCTGTAAAGAAAAATTAAATAAAAAATGTTACATACTAGACAGAGAAGGTTGATGAAACACTAGATTAGGAAAGAAGCCCATGTTGAAGCATCATTCACAAAGAACCCCTCCCAGACAGTAACATTGCTGGCAAAGTTGATTTTGTTACATAAACCTGTTGCTTGCAGGTATTGCCATCTTCCTCTGTCTGCACTTAAGTACCAGGAGCTAATGTCACTGCTGTACTCTCGTGCATGCGCGAGAGTACAGCCTTGAGGTTTGTGGAGGATCCCGCAAAACCCTCCAGGATTAATTCTGTAGCTCCACCCAGGAAGAAATATACATAGACAAAGTAGTTTTTCAAAGTAGAATTTCAGTGCAACGCCAACACAGTCAAAATGAGTATTCCATAAAGATTCTCATTTTCTGGGATTGATTTAACAAAATTTACATACATAAAATAGAAAAGAAAAAGTAAAACCCACACATTAGGCCTCTTGAAGTTACTCTTACAAGATATTTACATATTTGTGTATACTTTTTCAAATTATTAAATCATTTGAAATGCTTACCCAAATAATAAAATTGAGGCAAATTTTAGAAATATTTACACTGACAGCAATCAATTAAATGAGAAACTAAAACACAAAAAAGCCACAACTACTGAGAAGGAACTGACTGGAATAAACTCCCTTGTTTAGACTAGTTTTAGCAAGGAAGGGGTGAGACAAGAGACTAAAGAATGTTCAGATGATGGGGCTACTAAGGAGCTCTGGTGTTAAAAAAAAATAAATTATAATTTGCATTTATTTAGCAAAAGGAAATGTTTTCACATGAAAAATGTCATGCTTTTATTTTAAATCAGATGTACTAGACATTCACAATACCAACCTTTCCTCAAATTTGACTTTAGCCTCTCGTCTGGCTTTACGTTTTAGAGCTGGGTCTCTGAAAACATCTTTGTTCACAACAGCCTTGTCAAGGGGAATATCAACAGAGTACCTGAAGAGGGGAAAAAAATAACATACCATATTAATGGGAAGTAAGACAGAAGCAGTTTAAAAATGATACAGATATTCAGCAGGTCAGCTGTTGCTTAAAGCGTGACCCGAGATAGATAAAGGTTAGGGAATATTACACGTATGCTGTAGGAAGGAGGGAGAGATCTTGCTATAACTTGGATCACAGCAATTAAATTCATATGCTCTGTATGTGCATGCCCAGCCTGCTCCTTGTGTCGCTGCAGTAAATCGGGTGATGGCATAATATTGCTACCTCAGGTCACAGCTAGTTAGAAACTCCGGTCACTAAAGTCATTTCTCCAGGGGGTCACCTTTGCGCAAGGCCGTGTACTGGAGACTTCCACCAAGGGAGAGAAACTGAACTCCCAACAGGCCAGAGGAAAAGACTGTCCTCAGGTAAGCCATAAAATAAAACATTTTTAGTCCTGAAATTACTAAGATGGTCCTATAGGGAAAGAACAGGAACAAAGACTGAAGGTGGGAGTTGTAACTTGAAGTTGTCTGGGTGTCTATAGCAGTCCTTCAAACCAATGTGAAAGTATATATGAGTTAACCAGCGAGGATGAGGTTTTTTTTTTTTTTAGCAGATAGCAAGCTGAAATATCAATTATTTTTCAAAAAATAATTTAGAGGCCTGTTTCTTTAAGGAACCATATAGGTGATACATGTTCCCAGTTTGCCTTCTGGATTTCAGCCAGACTGTCCAATGGTCATGCTCCAATGAATCTCTGAGAATCAGTAATGACACTCCTTACTGGGCTTGGCTCATAATGCCTGCTTAAGCCTCCTTGGAGTACTCAGCATTCAGACACTTGAACTTACAAACCACATCACACACAAACAGTCCCTCACGACATTAGGTATAGTGTCATATGTTTATATATGATGAGATCCAGCGTCCGATTTTTCCGTATAGGAAAGAATTGATTCAATGCTTTCCTATGGGAAGGTCATATGCGCAAAGAAACTGCAATAATTAAACTTGCAGGGCTAAAAGGGGAGTGAGACACTGAAGTGGTCTGGGTGCCTATAGAATCCCTTTAAGCACACATTCACTGACCGTCACACATGCTCAATGACAAACACACAGACGTCACTAGCAGACAGACTCACTGATCTGACTCATCGAATGACAGACAAACACTGATAGTCAAACAGACTCATTGATTTGACACATACACTCACTATTAATACAATACTTTAATTTTTTTCAACCAGCCTTCTTACCTGTCGTTGGAGGTCTAGTGGGGCTGCTGTAAGGTGCGCGGCTGTTAGAATCAGAGACGGCAAGGGGGCTGTTATCTCCCTGCTCTTCTCCCCCGCGGGCAGTCTGATGCTGGCCTGCTGTTTACCTTATTGGGGCCAGCTCTTGGACCCACCCCCCAAGACAGGGAGAACACCGGGGATTCCCAAGTGGGCGTTTGGGTGCAGCATTTTTTTGCCGCCCGCAGGTTAGTGCTGCCCAAGGCAAATGCCTAGTTTGCTTTGGGCTAAATACACCACTGACTACAAGTATTTTGAGCTTATTGGTTTTATTTTACGCTTAACTTGTTTTGATGCCTGGAGTTTCCCTTTAATGTTGATCTTTCAGTCATTAGTAAGGTGACTCCCAACTTGCGTTCCTTAAATGGAATCATTTAGGGGAACCAAGTCAGGGAGCCGATTAATAGATAGCTCCCAAACGTGGTATTGCCATATTCTAGGACACTAAATTAAGGCTAAATAGATGGCTGCTGTCACTCTGCAAAGAGTCATGGTCCTCAAAGAGTCATGGTTCATGGTGGAGACCCAATAGGGAGACTTAGTGCGAATGCATGGCAAGCACATCAGACCTTCCTTGAGGCAATCCTTTCCTGTGTTTTTCCTCCTGATTAAAGTGGTCATGGTGCTTAAACATAATCAAAGGTTTTTAAATATTTCCCTTATAAATAACATTTAGTTACAATCCAACATTTAATTAGATCTCAAAATAAAATAAAAATATTGAGAATCACTTACCTGGTTGGCATGAGATGGTTGTAGTTGTATACCTTCACAAAAGACTTTATCTTTGACCTTTTTGCTATCCTCTTTTTTCCCATGGTGGCAGTCACTTTGCGAGGATAGCGGTCAATGCCAGCAACCAAGGCGTGGCTGTACTGACGTTCTGAAGTGCCATCATCAATGTTCTGAAAGAATTAAAACTGTATATTAGAAAATATGCAATACTCTTTATTCCATGAGTATAGCACTAACATTTTATTTAAAAATTGATATTTACCCCCTAAGGACAGAGGTAATTTATCTTTCATATTAAGTGCACCCACACATTTTGCTCAGGAGAAACAAGGTTTTAATTTCACAATATTTATATATCTAAGCATTGAAAATGGGGTATGTCCAGTCTTTTAGTAGCCACTTAGACAGAAGCTGGACAAAGTTAGCTTTCACTTTTTTGTTGTTGCATTTTTCATAAACAAACTGACCTTTCACCATAATCATTACATATTTATATAGTGCCAGCAAATTCCATAGCGCTGTACAATAGGTATTATATACATTTTACTGCTCTAAAACACCGATATTTGTTTGGTAATGTCTCACGAGTACAACAGTACCCCCATGTACTGCTCTCATGGTATTTTAGAAAGTTACAGGGTCTTGCTCATTTCGGTTTCTGCACATTGAAATTTGCCAGATTTTCAGACATCATGGAAGCCCAAGAATGAAAATGACTCATGCCATACAATTTTGAAAAGTAGGCAACCCAGGCCTGCCCCTTAAAAGGTGTTAAACAGCTATTGCTACTAGAAGACTAGTGTAAAAATAAAATATATGCCTACAATTTGTCTTGCATGTTTTCTATGAGGGAAATGTGAAATTTTGACTTTAGAGAACATAAATACCCCTCCCCCTCCCTCCCTATCCATCACTTTTTTCCCCTTTCTAGAATTGTAAAGTGCTGCTTTATCATTATGATGGAGTAAGATCTTGTGTAGCTACTATGGATCGACCAATAGTGATTTTTTTTGTGTACACTTACCATTTAAAAAAACCAAAACAAAAACTTTCTACACAAATCTAGTGGTAACTGAACATGTTTATTTTTTGCCATTTTTTTTATTATGGTAAATGCACAAAATACACATGCCAGTCATAATTTATGTTTTCAAGAATATTTGTGTGTGTAGTGGATGCAGTGTGTGTGAGTTTGTGTAGGTATGTTAAGTGTGTAAAAAAAGGGGGGGGGGGCATTTTTATTATAAATATTTAATTTTTTAAAGTTTTGTTTTAGTCCCCCCTCTCTGCTTCTTACCTTGCCAGGGAGGAGGGATATGGCATTGATTGTGCAGAGGAGGCCCAGCATACTTACCTTCCCAGCAGCTCCTCTGTCCAACACTCGCAGCCTGCACGCCGCCTTGCCATGGTAACCCGTGGCAATGCTCTGACGGATGCGGGACTCGCAAGATTTGAGCTGGGAAGCTGAAGTGAACTGTTGGGGAGGAAAGAGTATGTTGGGTCCCTCATGACCCTGATGGTGGCCCTGGTCTGGTATCTTTATTGGCAGATACTGATATTGCTGAAAATACAGAATATCACCCAGACCAATAAACGGGCGATCCCTAGTAGCTACTGCAAGGCCTTCCCCTCTTACCTAGCAGTCTTTCTATGACTATACAATCTGAAATTCCCCACTTTCATAAACGTTTAAAGCACTGATAGTGAACCTGTGAGCTTGAGTGCCCAAACTAACACGAAAACAAAGATTTATCTTGAAGTGCCAACAATACAAATAAACTATTTTAGAAAAATCCCTTAACACAAGACAATAAAAGAGGTTACAGTGAGTCATAGGCACGTCCAGCAAACTGCTCCCATGGTATACATCCAAAACGTGGAAGAGCGCACGTGGAGGCTATATGATCAATTATACAGCTTTATTTTTCGTCAGCCAACACAGACAGCATCACTGGGACATTAATTAGGATTTTCCCCATGTCCCTTCTTCCCCTGCCCCATGCCTTTTCATTTCTCTTCATAACTCCCTTTCATGCCTTTATTCTCTGCACCCCCATTCTCTCAGCAAGAGGGAACTTCGATATATCACCGATTGGCTGTTGCTACACTCCATAACGTCCAGCAGTAAATTGAAAAACAAGTAATCTGTGGTCCATTGAAGCACCCAAGCAAGCTTATCACAATGTGGCAACCTCACAAGCTGACAGACAGGACTCTGCATGCCATCTGTGGGAAAAGGAACACTCAAAGCACCATAGCTCCTGGTGCCAGGAGTGCCCTACCACTATGTAAATTGATAAAACGTTTGTTGACAGCTTGACTTATCTTAACTTTCTTTTGTTCTCCTGGGCTAAATCTTGCACTGAGGTATGTGAATGAATCTCGCTCAGCCCATGAGAAGACCTGCACTGCTGGGCTTAGCTCACAGCTGTCAGACGGTGACTTTAACCTGGCAGATCCAAGGTAGGAATGAGTGTTTCTTAAAATTTTGTTTTTTTTAAAAAATACTTTTGACCTCTATGGATTTCTAGTCTTTGCAAGTTCAGTGCTCTGGGTAATTACCGGTCCCATGAGAACTAAACTAGCAGGAAGAAACAGGACAAGCTGCCTGCAGACAGGGATATGTTACTTTGTAAAAGTGCTGATTATCATTGAAATTAACACTCTTAAACTAAACACATACTTCTTGCTCAAATTAATCAGTATTGTTAAAGGGACACTATATAGTCACCCAGAACACCACTTCAGCTCAATGAAGTTGTCTGGGTGCCAGGTCCCTCAGGTTTTTAACACTTCACATGTAAACATAGTTTCAGACAAACTGCTTTGTTTACATAGCAGGGTTAATCCAACCTCTAGTGCGTCTTCCTGACAGCCGCTAAAGGCATTTCTGCGACGCAGGATGCAAAATTCGCACCCAGTGTGCACAATGTCCATAGGAAAACATTGAGAAATGCTTTCCTACGGATTGCTGGAATGCGCGCGGCTCTTGCTGCGCATGCACATTCTGCTCCACTCAGGAGCCGACGTCGGCGAGGGAAGATAGCTTTTAATTTTAAACCAAAAGCAGCATAAATTCTGCAGGAACTGCAGAAGACCATACAGCCTTTCATTTGTGGAAAGGATCAACTAGACGTTTGAGCATAGAACATGTACAAAATTCACATTAGCACATTAACACTAATTAATGAAAGCAAACCGAGGTGGAGTTACTACTCAGGTATCAACATTAAGCATCACTGCATACATAGAGCCCTTGCACCAATACAACTTCAAAACATGACCTGTGTTCCACTGAGAACCTCTTCCAAAAAATACTATGCTGACGCGCTGTGTGTGAAGAGTGTTTTTTGTCCAAAAAGTTCAGATTGTGATACAAATTGGCACGTTTATAAGTTAAAACCTTGGTACACCACCTGGCTGTCAGAAAACCTATCATTTTACTTCCTAGCAGTTTATCTCTTGATATAAACTAAAGAAGCAGGCAATTGCCTAGAGCTGCTTCTTTGCGCTACATTAGGAAGTCTGTAATGGTTAGAATGGGGTGCTAGCAAAGACCTATGTAGTTCCCCTGGCTGCGACTGACACGGCCTACATGAAATTCTTCAATTTTCAACCCAATGTTAATTAACTGTGAATATAATTATTAAAAGGCACTCTCTAGGCACCAAAACTACTTTACGTAAAGTTAAGGTGTCAGGAGGCCCCCGGAGGTACTCTTACCTCAACTTTTCTAACGGTTTAACCCTAAAGTTGCCTCCAGCAGAATTCTCAAACTCCTCTTCCCTTTAAATAGTTACTACGTGCCCCATTACCAAATCAAGTAATTAACGTGGTCATGGTTTTTACCGTCTATGCCCGTTTAAGTGTTCTCAACACAACAAAAACATGCAAGTAAAAAGAATAAAAAAAAACACCAACAAACCTTGACGATGACAGCTTTACGTCCTGCATAGCGTCCAGCCAAGACAAGGACAACCTTACCGGGTTTCATAAACTTGCCCATTGCTGCAAATAAATATCAGTTTAAGGCACACTCAAAGGAATAAAAACATAACTAGGCAATTCAACTACCTTGAATCTAAAACATTGTCAAATCTGGCTATAACCGGTATTTTGTCAATTCATTCATAAGTCCTAAAATGTTCCTAGAGCCATGAAAAACACATAGAACAGGGTTATAAAAACTCACTAAAATAAATAAAGTCACATGGTATATTTAGCTTTACCAATTTTATTTAGCATAAGATATGCTGAGGAGAGTTAATATTGAACCATTAGTATTTATTTACATTCAGACTTCTTACACGTTGATAATGCACCAAGACAGAAAAGCATAAACTATCAACGCATTATTACATAATATTACACCCGTGTCATAACCACCTCTAAAGTGAACGAGGCGACTTAAGGAAATCGCATTAAATTATGCTAGACATTGCATTTGTAATAAAAGGAAAGAGTCTCATACTTGAGATAAAACTCGAAAACTATGTAGAGATTACACATTGCATTACTAGCACTGATTAAGCCGGACTATCCGGACACGCCGATATACAATAGGAACGAAAGCGGCCTCATTAGAGAGATATTTTTTACAGTAACAATTAACATTCTAAACAAAAATATTTGCCTAAAATGATAGCTCAGCACTCGCTCTATAATAATTCCGAACGAAACAAGAATTCTAAAACACCACCGATGCAGATTGCAAGTGATTGAGACCGCAGCCCTATGTACTCACTCAATCCAGCTCAATGGCCGCCCCGAAAAGAAAGGAAGTGATTACGTCTCCTCTCACCTTTCACGATGCACGCGCGGTGACGTAGTTCCGAGGGGAGGAACAAATGCTCGTTCTAGCCAACTATCGAGAAAACTCGTTGCTTTTGGGAGTACTGATGTGCCCTGTATATGTCAATCCCTTAAAGGACGACTCTAGGCACCCAGACCACTTCAGCTTAATGAAGTGGTCTGGGTGCCAGGTCCCTCTAAGATTAACCCATTTTTTTTTATAAACATAGCAGTTTCAGAGAAACTGCTATGTTTATAAATGGGTTAATCCATCTTCCAAATCCTCTAGCGGCTGTCTCATTGACAGCCGCTAGAGGCGCTTGCGTGATTCTCACTGTGAAAATCACAGTGAGAACACGCAAACGTCCATAGGAAAGCATTGTAAATACTTTTCTATGCGACCGGCTGAATGCGCGCGCAGCTCTTGCTGCGCGTGTGCATTCAGCCGAATGGGAGGAGAGGAGGAGGATAGCTCCCTGCCCGGCGCTGGAAAAAAGGTAAGTTTTACCTCAGGGCACTATAGCAAATATGCTTTCCTGGCACTATAGTGGTCCTTAAAGGACAGCTTCAGAAGCTTGTCTTTCACTTAATGACAACAGCATTTTTTTCATTTTTTGCTGTTTGCGTTCAACTGCAATTTGTATTTTACTAATTTATTGCACCGACACATATTATATATATCGTTTTTTAAAGGACAGACTTAATAGCCATAAAAGAAAACAAAATTGCCACACAAAAGTATATATTAATATAAAGGAGACATCACAGGCTATTTACATCTATGTTTCTATGTTTCTATATTACCTAAGGTTATTCTGACACTTTTTACGTAGCCATTTCACTGCCAACCTCTGCTAAATATTGGAGTAAAATTGTGTTGGGTTTTTTTGTTTTTGGCACACAAACTTATAACAAAGAAATTCTCATGTGTATTTTGTAAAGTTGGTGTGTGCTATTCCTGTACAAAGTTTTATTTTGTGTTCAGTTGCATCTGCTGAGTAAAATGACACCCCCATTGTATGTCTTTGGCACTATTTTGTGAAGTTACAGTGCCATATAGGAGGCCTGTTCTTTTCAGTATTCACAGTAGAATTTTGAGAGACGGATTTAATGACCCTATGCTTCCATGTGGGGTATTATAACAGTTTGACAGTTCAAAAAAGCCCATTTGTAAAAGTAGACACTCCAGGGTATCTTATAAGGTGCATATTGTGCCTTAACATGCCCCCATTTTTTCACCAATATATGCTAAAGTATGTGATAAAAAATAATTTTGTGCGTTTTTTACATATGGATTGCATTTTTGCTGGGCATTTTGTATATTTCACATGTGCCACTACGTTCAAACCCCCCAAATTATGCTCGGCTAAGTCTTCTGAGTAAAAAGACACCCCCAGTTTCAAAGTTAGAAAAAACTCTTTCGTGAAGCTATAGTGCCATACAGGGCCGCCATCAGAAATTTTGGGGCGCCTAACACAGCTCAAGGTCTGGGCCCCCCTTCAAGCCTGCCTCCAAATCCCGCCCACAGGAATACACACACACTAACAGATACAAATACTGAAACAGACATACACACATGCATAGGGAGATACTGACACACACACACACACACACACATATACATGCAGACATACATACTGACAAACATACATATACATACTGCATACTGATATATACATACATACTGACAGGCATACATACATACAGACACACACTGTCATACATACACGCATACACTGGCATACATGGGCATACATACACACATGCACTGGCATACATACACTGGCATACACACATGCATTGACATACATACACTGGCATTCATTCACTGGCATTCAAACACTGGCATACACACTGGCATTCATACACTGGCATACACACACTGGCACACATACACTGGCAGACATACATACACTGGCATACACACATACATACACACACTGGCATACATACACTGGCATACACACACACTGGCATACATACACTGGCATTCATACATTGGCATACACACATACACTGGCAGACATACACTGGCATACACACATACATACACACACTGGCATACACACCCTGGCATACACACACACTGGCATACATACACTGGCATTCATACACTGGCATACACACATACTCACACTGGCATACATACACTGGCAGACATACACTGGCATACACACACACATACATACACACACTGGCATACACACACTGGCATACATACACTGGCATACACACATACATACACACACTGGCATACACACACTACATACACACACACACTGGCATTCATACATTGGCATACACACACTGGCATACACACATACATACACTGGCATACACACACTGGCATACACACATACTCACACTGGCATACATACACTGGCAGACATACATACACTGGCATACACACATACATACACACACTGGCATACATACACTGGCATACACACATACATACACACACTGGCATGCACACACTGGCATACATACACTGGCATACACACACTACATACACACACACGCTGGCATACACACACACTGGCATTCATACACTGGCATACACACACACACACTGGCATACATACACTGGCAGACATACATACACTGGCATACACACTGGCATACACTGGCATTCATACATTGGCATACACACACTGGCAGACATACACACACTGGCATACACACATACATACACACACTGGCATACATACACTGGTGTACACACATACATACACACACTGGCATGCACACACTGGCATACATACAGTGGCATACACACACTGGCATACACACACACACTGGCATACACACACTGGCATACATACACTGGCATACACACACACACCCTCATCCCCAGCCACCCTCCTCTCTTCCTTACCATTTTGTCGCTGGAGGGTGGCTGGGGATGATGGGCATCGGCTGCCTCTCCTCAGGCTGCATCCTCCTTCCCGCGCGGAGTAAAGTGGGAGGAAGTAACCGGACGTCACTTCCTCCCAGCAGCACTTGCTTCCGGCTGCATTTTTTTTTTTTTTAAAGGGGGCCGGTCGCGCTATTACAGCGCTGATCGGGCCCCTGAAGATAATAGGGCCCATTGGGTGGTCCTAAATTATTGGGCCACCTGATGGGCAGGCGGCAGTTCCGGTGATCCACGTGGGGCCCGGTTGTCATGCCCTGATGGCGGCCCTGGTGCCATATAGGAGACCAAGCCATATCAGATTTACCGAACATTGAATTTTGACGCTGGGCCTATGTGCAAGCATCTTAGCAGGGTTTAAATTTAAACTACCCCACAAAGGCCTACCATTTCTTAAAGTAGACACCCCAGGGTATTTCAAAAGGTATATTTTGAACCTTAGCGTGGGATCATTTTTCCGCTAACTTGTACCAAGTGCAGTGGTAATAAGTGTTTTTTCTGCCTTCTTGACACACAAACCTTATGTGTGCTACCAGTGTATAATACTTCATATGTTGCTCAGCTATGTCGGCTGAGTACAGCAATACCCCCGTATGTACCTTTGTCAGGTATATGTGGACATCGGAGGGGCACATTTGGGACACAGCCATTCCAGTTTTTTTCAAATTTTACATTTTTACGCTGTGCCCATGTCCCAATATAGAGTATTTTACAGGCAATATAATCCAAATACCCCATAAAGCCATACCATTTCTTAAAGAAGACATCCCAGGGTATTTCAAAAGGCATATTTTGAACTTTAGCGTGGGATCATTTTTCGGCTAGCTTGTACCAAGTGTAGTGGTAATAAGTGTTTTTTTCTGCCTTTTTGACACACAAAGTGAGTTTGCACAGTATATTTTGCAAACTTTATGTGTGCAACAACTGTATAATACTTCATATGTTGCTCATATATGTCGTCTGAGTACAGCAATACCACCGTATGTACCTTTGCCAGGTATATGTGGATGTTGAAGGGGCGCATTTGAGACATAGCCATTCAGTTTTTTTCTAACTTTGAAGTTTTTACGCTGTGTCCATGTTCCAATTTGGAGTAGTTTAGACGGTTGGTTATTGAAACTTCCCCACAAACACATACTATTTATTAAAGAATACACCCTGGGGTAATTCAAAAGGCATATTTTGAACCTTTAGCGTGGGATCATTTTTTCTCTAGTTTGTTCCAGGTGTAGTGGTAATGAGCGTTTTTAAATGTATTTTTTTACGTTTTGAAACTTTTTTTACTTTTAAAAACTAGTTTTTAAACTTTTGTTTTGGTTATTAATTTTTTTTAAAACTTTCCTAAACTTTCTTAAAACTTATTTTACAGATTTAACATTTTTCTAAGCTTTTTTTTTTTACCGTTAACCCCTAACTAGCAGTAAGCAACACTAACAGTAAATTCCCCATTAAATTCCCATAACTTCCACCCACCCCAGCTAGCAAAATATATAATTATAAAATATTTAAATTAATTAACTAAATAAATTGAACCCCTGAGGGTTAAAAAATAAATAAAAGTTAATCGTCAGGGGTTAAAAATTAGATCACAGTATAATACTGTGATCTGTATTTTGATCACTGTATGCAGTGATCGACTGGCAGGGAAGGGGTTAATTTTTATTTGGACTGGGTTAACCCCTAGTTAGCCTAACACCAAATCCCCCAATTCCCCACTATCTTCCACCCACTCCAGCTAGCTAAATATATAATTTTAAAATATTTAAATTAATTAATTAAATAAATTTAACCCCTGAGGGTTAAAAAAAAAGAATTAACCCTAAGGGGTTAAAAAAAAATCTGGGGGGGCGGGGCCTGACCATCATGGCGGAGAGACACATTTTACACAAGCTCCTGCACAATCTCGGCGAAATGAGCAATAAAAGGCTCACACAAGCGACACAACCAGCAAATGTGAATGCCCACTGGCCACCCACACCAAGGGGCACACAGCGGGACATCCTGCTACCTGATCGGAGCCAGATGGAACCATGTACGGCATTGCGGCTTGGTATACGCTGGGTGGGGGAGGCTGCCGCTCCCCTGACTCGGAGGCGCCCTGAGGCTGCTCGCTGCACAAACAAGCCCTGTTACCCCCCCCCCCAGGACCGGCGGGGGTGATCCCGGTCCACCTAGGAGCAGTTGTCCCAGGCATGCGGAGAGGTGGAATGTCGACCACGACAACAAACA